GTAACACTCTCGGATACTGTGTCGCAGTTAAGGAACTGTAAAATGAGTCGCGCGGCGGTAAACGTGTGTCTTGTAATCTGTCCACGCAGTCAATGTATTCGTACGGAAGACGCCCTTCCGTGTCAATAAATTGAATTTTTCACTAGTTAATTTTGATATTCCGAATGTAAATTTTTAGTTTTCTTTATCCAAAAATGACGCTATTTGTCGAGACTAGCGCTGAGAAATTTATATGAGTCTATGAACCGTAATTTAATATAATTTTTCGAATTATTATCTTGTGTCAATCTAACAGTCTTCGAGAATGAAATGTATTTTTCCTTTGTTATCGGCAGTAATTCCATTTCCCCTTCGAACGCTGTGGCTATGTCCTCGATAATAAAATGCGCGTCGTAGCCGGACAGATTGTGAAAGACTATAGGAATACAAAATGATTCTTTGTAATTTAAGTTACAATTTGAGTGCGCGGGACCCCTGTACCGCCCGGTGAGGTGGCAATGATCGCGGACGCGTGTGTTCGTCTTCGTCAAACGGTTTCTCACAAATGTGACAATGCGTCGCGGTGCGAAATTTTAACCACTCGTCAGGCGTTAAATTACCATGGGGACATTGTCGTTCGTTAAAATATTTTTTACGCGGATTGCTAATTTTTAAGCTGTTCGGCGAACCACGCGACGCAATCGACACTACGGCGGGAATTGTACGCGGACAACGAACTGTCGTACGAACACTGTACGTAATACGCGATGCTGAACACTTGATGGTGTTGATGATTTTTGGATCTTCGGTCTTTGCCAAAACACACTCGAGATCGGCGTACACTACAAACGGCAGCCGCTCCTTCCTCGTGTAGTTGTCGAAGCTGAGCCACTTGTCCTTGTCGCTCGGCAACCGGATAGCGCAGTCGTTCAGTTTCCCGCAATCTTCCATATGCGCCTGCAACTGGTCCTCAGAATAGAAATAATGTAGGCATCTGTAAAAAATAAAAATTTAATTAGAAATATTTTAAAATAATTTAAGTTTACTATATACTTACCGATCGCAAATAAATTTTCTACATTTGTGTTTGCTCAGTTGCGAGCTCACGAGACGTGACAGATTTTTATGCACGCGAAATGTCCAACGCTGTTTTCGTCCTCCACGTACAGCAGATTGACGTGCCTGTCCTTCTTTTTTTCCGAAAGACGCAACGGGACGATGTTCTCGTTCTCGATGATGTATACGTTTACGGAAATGTCGTTTGCAAGTTCGAATTTTTTATTTGATTCACAGTCACTGGAAACTCAATGTTTTGGAGATTCAGCACTGTTGTGTAATGCGGATAGGAGGATTCTCGATCCACATGTATATCAGCGGGGTACAGAGCGGCCACCACCGACCATGCGAAACACGCATTGTCCGCTGATCGCACATTAATCACCGCTCTCTTTGTTACAATTTTTTGCGGTAATATGATACGACATCCCGCGCGCATAGGATTGTACTTATTTACATTCACTGTCAAATCTATTATCCGCGACAATGCCCAGCCGCTATCGCGTTCCTGGAACTCTTCTAGCGATGCTAGCGTGGGCTCGATTACGCGGCGCTCGTACCACTCGCGTACATCGGACGTGCGAAAGAGTTCAAAGTTTCTCGTGTTAATACTTTTATTGGCGCGCTTGTCACCGGACACAAATTCACCGTTGAAAACAGTGTTCACTTTTACACTGGCGTGTCTTTGTAGCACATTCTCCACGTTCTCGACTACAATGTCTGCGGCATTTTCCAAAAACTGACGCGGTTCGATGTGGTCTGCGTTAATTACCGCACCGTCAGTATACGGCTATCGAACGCCGTATCGATTTCGCGCCAAACGAGTCTTTGCGCGTTATTGCCCGCCACCGCTGCCACTAGGCATGGATCCACCACTAACATGGATTCACCGACATATCGTCTCTGCAAGCGCACCTTTGCACCCCTCGAGTCGCGCTATTCTCGCCACCAGAGATTGTCTATGTCCAATCGAGAGACGCGGACGCTTGGCACGGCTGCGTTCTTCCAGCTCTTCGATAAACCGTTCGCACTCTTGCAGCCATCCGAAATATTCGCCAAGTTAGCAACTTGGCGGGAACGCTCCAACAGGTCGCGCTCAATGTTCTCCATTTTTGTAAAAAATTCACTTATTACAAAAAACTTCTTTGCACACTAAACTTTTTTTCTTGCACCTCGAATGAAGCGTGCGCTCGCCAGTGGTACTATGGCCCGGCAGCTGCATCGGTCCTCATTATATATCCCGATCATCCCTTTGTTCGTTCGTGGGGATGATGATGCAATTGTTAATTCGCGAGAAATATTTGTGTGATATCTTCGGAGAAAGTTTAGATATCGCTGATAATTCTTAGAAATACATAGATAGGCCGCCCGTACCTTTCATTTCACCCCGTCGGATCGGATCGACACGCCGCGCAAACATGTCGCAACCTGTACGGATCAACCCGCTTGATTGTCGGCGAACCTTTGTTCTTAGTAATTCGCAGAATTTTTATCTTATCAAATTTAGATGAAGAAACGAACCCCCTTGATTGTCGGCGGCGCTCGATCCAAGCTTGGATTTTGCGGCAGCCATTCGCAGAATTTTTATCTTATCTTCGGAGAAAACTTTGATACCTACAAAGACGCCGCTTATCTTTGATACCTTACAAAGACGCCGCTTATCTTGGATTCGAAAAACTTAGCTTATCTTACTTGATTTTCGGATTTTCGGAGAAAACTTTGATACCGCTCAAAGACGCCGCTATCTTATCTTATCTTGTTTATGAATATATCAAGTAAAACATGATCCCCTTATCTTATCTGTTTATAAATATATCAGGTAACATGATCCCCTTATCAGGTTATCTGATATGTTTATAAACAAAGATAAGCTTATCTACTGATAAGACCCCCTCCCCCCCGCGTGACGTCACCCCCCTCGCCCCGATTCCCCCCCGCCCCTCACCCCCCCTCATTGCCCCTGGTCTAGAACCCCCATAGTATCCCTACTGTGATGCCATACTTGGGAGAGGCAACAGCACGCACACACAAGCGCGATCGTCGTATGTGTAATACACGTATGACGATCGCACTTGTGTGCGCGTATACTGTTGCCTCTCGGCCTCTCCCGAGTGGCATCACTAAAAACGGCGCTCGAGTGCTTGTAAGCAACACGTTCTGTACGACGCACACGGCACACGTGCTTGAATTGATCGAAGGGCAATTTATATCTGGGAGAAGCGAGAAAACACGAAAAATTTTCAAAAAATATAGAGGAAAGGAGAAACCACACACACACAAATCTTCGGCGGTATAGTGTTCATTATCGAGCCTGAAAAGTTCGTTCGCGCGTGCTGTGTTTATAACCTGCCATGGGCGGATCGAATTTCCGAAGCGGAGGATACAATAGCTGCTTTTAAGAATATACAGGTAATGTAAGTAAATGACACATATATATTATTCAATATTATATTTATCAAATAATAGATAATGTACGTGTTCATATTGCTTGAACTTCTGTTTTGCTGTAGCCAGTGTATGAATAACCTCACAAAAATAGTAGTAAAATTCACATTTTTGTCACGTGGGTTTTATATAAAAATTCGTAGAATCCACGTGACAATAATGTGGATTTGACGAATTGTTTTTGTAGAAAATAAAATAAAATGCATCTGCAATTAACCTTTATTCTTGGCATTGGCTGCATAAGATTACTATTTCAGAAGCTATCTTTTCATTTTATACTAGAAAAAAAAAGATAAACTCTGAATTAATACAGCCTAGTGAAGCTAGTGCAGGAATAAAAAATAAACCCAAAGAATCTAGATGCTAGAAGTGCAAGCAATGCGAGTAAACTGAATATTGTATATGCTAATTGTGTACTTTTTATAATTGTAGATATATGTGAAATAAGCGTAATCAAGAGTGTATCAGAAATTGTGTATCAGAAACTATTAGAAGAGATTTACTGTACGATGTCGCAGTAAGTTATTTACATTGTTGCTTTTATTGCTATACGAGCTACTAGATTGCATTAGTTGACATAAGCTCTGCTGTTTTTTATTGCTGTGCTGAATGCACTTTGATAGGCAAGACTAGATTATCTTTTTCTCTTTATATTGAAAAGAGAAAAATAAACTCTGAACTAATAGTTCAGCCAGTGCAACAATAAAAATAATTTGTGATGAACAAATAATAAACTTTTTTTGAGTTTGAAATATATATAACTTAACAATTTCAAACAATTTAAATAAAATGACTGTTAATTTAACTTTAAATTATTTGTTTTAATTTTTATTGTATATTGTAACGCCAAATTTTTAAACAGCTACTGCAGATATATGTTTTTGTACGCATATATATGTGTGTGTTATTAAAAAATATATATAAATATATTATATATATATAACCATGTCTATAGAAATATATGTTTATAGTAAAAGCTGTTTAAAAATTTGATGTTACAATAAAATAAAAATCAAAACAAATAATTTAAAGTTAAGTTAACAGTCATTTTATTTACATTGTTTGAATACTGATTATTTATAACAGATTTCTGTATTTTTGACATAGAAAATTTAGAGTTCATATTTTTTTATATATTAATAATTTCTTTATTAGCTTCTTTAAAAAGACAGAAATTTATTACGTTACTATTTATTTACATTTATAGAAGTTTATAGTTTTTTTATAAAAATTTATTATAGTCTTTTTTAGCATAAAACACGTAGGATAAAGAAATTAATTCTATGTGTAGTTTTTTTTCCTTAAAAAGTTAATATTTACGTATTTTATGTAATTCTATATACTTGAAAGGTAAAACAAAAGCATATATCGTTATTATATTCCTTTGTTATATATATTTTATGAATTTTACTAACACTTCTAAAATTTTTATAACAAAGAAATATGATAATAATGTATGTTTTACTTTATGTGCTTTAATTCAGTATAATCAGTATAATTTAATGCATAAAAATTTAAAACAATTATTTAAAATAATTAATTTAGAAACAATTTTAAAATATTTGCTGAATAAGGCTAGATTGTAATAATTACATGTAATAAGTCATTTTATATCTGTTTTGTATAATAGATCTGGATTTAATATAAAAATGAAAAATTTTCAATTGGAAGCTGGCCAGTCGCGTTACTATAAGCCTCTTCATATGGTATCGAGAAGGCAACAAAGATTAAGATTAGCTCGTCGAAAACAAATAATAAAAAAAACAAAATCACTTTTGATAGAGAATGATTGTTCTGAAAATATCTATGCTAAAAATAAAGTTCAACATTTTAATGACTGCAACGTAAATCATCTTGTACAAGACACTCATTTTAATTCAATTGTGCAACTTTCTACAAAGGAACAATCTTCTCATTTATATACAGACAATATAGACGGGGTTAAAGTTAGAAATACTTGTAATACGGTAATATTTCAGAAGAATTTAGCAGCTGTTCTAGTTGACGCAAATCATGTTCTCGGCAATCGTATTTTAAAACTTCTAAGAACTCATGATTGCTTTACATTTTTACCTGCAGATATTAGATCATTACTTTTGACGCCACGGCACTCCTCAATTTTATATAAAGTTGAGCCAGGAGAATATTTACATATTGGGGTAAAAAAATGTTTAGCCCAAATTCTTGAAGAAACACATTTTTTATCAATTCCCGAAGTTCTCGAAATTGACATTAGTACGGATGGAGCACAATTATATAGAAATGGAAAACATGATATTTGGCCAATTCAATGCAGAATTGTTAATATTCCAAAATCTATTCCAAAAACTATAGGAGTGTATAAAGGTTCACAAAAACCTAAGAGTGCAGAAGAGTTTTTCCAATATTGTAACTCAGATTTTCATGAAATTTTTAATGAAGGTGGTATCATTTTTAAAGATAAAAAGTTCTCAATAAAACTGCGATGTTTTATCGGAGATGCACCAGCTAGAGCATTTATTTTAGGACATAAGAGTCACCGTTCTTTTAATCCATGCTCAAAATGTACAATTAACGGATTTAGTATTGGAAGATGTACGGTATTGAGAGGAATTAAGCATAGGCAACGTATACATGAAGAGTATAGACAACAAATTGATGAGGAACATCATAAATGTTCAAGTCCATTATCTCATTTACCTTTTGATAAAGATGTTGTATTTGAATATATGCATATGTGTTGCCTAGGAGTTATGAAAAAATTAATCGTGACATGGATACGTGGGGATTGTACAAAAAACGTCAAATTATCGGGAATCCAAATTAAAATTATTTCAAATCGATTAAAGATTCTCTCAAAACACTGTCCACGAGAATTTGCACGCCGCGTTGAATCACTTAACGACTATGATCAATTTAAAGCCACTCAATGGCGTCAAATTATGTTATATATTGGAATAGTATGCTTTAAAGAAGTTGTTAAGGATTACATATATGATCATTTTTTACTTTTCCATACATCCATGCGCATTCTTGTTTCATCGGTATATAATACGAATAGAAATCTAGTTTTTTCTGAAATGGCTATCGAAAAATTTGTGTTACTCTGTGAACACATTTATGGCTTAACTTTTTTGTCATATAATATACACGGAATTCTCCATTTGGTCGAAGATGTACTCCGATTTGGCCCTTTAGACAGTTATTCAGCATTTCCATACGAAAACAGCATGGCTTTTTTCAGAAAAATGTGTAGAAAACCACATCTTTCCTTGCAGCAAATTGCTGCAAGACATGCAGAGAAAGAGCAGTGCAAAAAAAAATTTATTGTACAGAATAATTGTATGAAAGTGTGGAAAAAACACGAGGAAGGTCCATTACCTTTTGCTGACGCTGATTCTAGAATATATGATCAATATAAATTTTTGAAAACTCCGGATATGACAATTGGTGTTTGTGCACGCGATGATTGTTGCATTTTATCAGATTCAAGTATATGTTGCGTAAAAAATATTTTGCATTATAAAAATGATTATTTTATTGTTGTTAAAAAATTTCAGCAAGTAGTAGATTTTTTCAATATTGGCATTAGTTCATCTTTTGTCGGTATTTATAAATGCTCTGAATTAACTTATAATTATGATATTATCTCATTACAAGATGTAAAAGCAAAATGTTTTAGAATGCCTCATTTTACTTGTCTCCCTAGTAATGAATTAATGCAAGATAAAATAGTACAAGATGAATTTATCGTTGCAGTAATGCAATAATAATGAATAAAACAATCTATTTTTTTATATTATTATTAATAATATTAATAATTTATTAATATACTAGAAAATATGTATATTAAAAATATGCTCTCTATAATATAATTATATATATGTAAATAATAATAAATTTGTGTACCTATCGAAAGTGATCATAAACTTTTGCCTTAAAGAATTGTTAGATATGACCTACTATATCTCATAAATCATCTTAAAATATCTGCAGGTTTGTTACACATACTTGTTACTTTATGCTAATTATCGCAATAACATTCTTATTATTCTTATCTTTTAGATCCACACGATTTTCAAAAAGGTCTTTGAAAAAGCCACCTCGATATAGAACTACTTCGAGCGAAGAGGAAGTAAGAGCTAAAAAGACTAAGCGTATTAATGAAGAAACAGCGAAGAACAAAGTTTCATCTGTTATGCAGAATATCCGTACTACGTTTCAAAATGTTTCAAATAATACTGAAGAAAACACAGTATGCAATTTTGCACAAGCTATGCACCGAAAAACTGTTAATAACTTTCATTCAGTTAATGCGAATAATACAAGTATTCCGTCACGACAATTCAGCATTAATAGAAATAGTTCTCAACGTAAAATCCTGCAAGAATCAAACATTATAACAGAAAACATTAGACAACCAGCTGTTCAGCTAGGTAATATTCAAAATTTAAGAAATGATAATAGACAGCTCTTAAACAATGTACAACCACGTTGTCAGCAATCTTCTCAAAATATTACATTCAACAATCCATCAGAAGACTCAAATCATACACAAGAGGTGGAAAATACAGTATCAGTTGAACCACTTCAAGAGGAAAACAATGCACCATTACTGAGACAAGGAAATGATGTACAAATTGAAATACTTCGCGACATACAGCAGAAAATACAGTACGTTATATATATTTTTATTATTAATTATTAACAAGTAGATAATAATTCTGATTTAAATGATATATATTTATTTTTTTCTGATAGTTTGTAATAGTTTATGAAGGTTTTCAAAAATTACAAGTTTTTTTTTTAAGAAAAGATTTATATCTTGATTTTTAAACTTGACATGATATATTATTAATTATAATTTATTAATTTCAGAGGAATAAATAGGCGATTGGATTCGCTAGAAGAAAAAATCGATGGCAATATTATAAATGCAATGCTCATGAAACCGCGAATCCTCCCATTTTCAAGTATAGATACGATAAAAAGGTTCACAAAGGAAGACAGGGTTCTTTACAATGAAGTCGTAAGTTAAATTAATATTTTACAATTTTACACACACGCACATACATGCACACATATACAATATATGCATTAGGGTGGAGCGTTTTTAAGTTATTTTCGAAATTGCGAATGCCAGGGTGTGGAATGAATGCTTTTTTAGAATAATATAAAGTCCACAAAAGCTCAGTTGTCATGTGCGACTTCATTGTTAGCTTCCTAGATGAAAAAAAGTTTTTGTAAAATAATGCTTTTGAATGTTATTAAATCAATAAATTAGGATTTAAATTAATTGTTGCATTACAATTAGTGCTAATTTAGGTTAATAACGGCGGTAAAAATTTTAGTTATCTCAGACTTGATCTTCAGATATCTAAAATAAACGATTTTGAGAAAAAAGCAAGGAAAACTACACTAGTTAAATTCGCTCCACTTTAATATGCATATATGTATGTACGGTACTCGTCATTAATTCGTTTCAAGTCCTTAGCGAGTCGATATAGGATATGTAACATATTCTATATCAACTATAGAGATCGGGAACTAATTAATGGTGTGTACGTGTATTTTATTAATTTCTTTTTATGTTTATTTTTCTATTTATCTATAAATCACCGTGATTCTATTATTACATAGAAAATTATTTTTATTACAAATCGAAGCATTTACGGAATTATTGCGTTTTATAATTATATCAAAATATATTAGACAGCATATATATATATATATATATATATATATATAACTAGCTTAAGTTTTTATTTTTGTAATAATTAGGTTTTGTAGGTAAACTACTTCAAATTTTTAAATTGTATGACGTTAAAAGACAGCGTGCATCAATGTGTAAAAGAATCTATAACAATGCAAGTAGCAACGAAACTGACATGGTGGGGTGTTCCTGATGTTAAATTCCCATTTTACAATACAGTTTTATGTCAAGCGATTTACCGTATGTATACAGCATATATGTATATTTGTTATTCCGTTGTCATTATTATACAATATTGATTGTGATACCAAAAATATTATATCTATTATTTTTCAGAAGCCGTAGGATCGAATCGGTACTACCTTAAACCAACCAGAGAAGAATTTCAAAAAGAAGTTGTGGCATCTATAAAAGTTGCAAAACAACGTTTGCGAAATGCCAGAGAAAGACATCCTGGAATTCAAGGGAGGCGAAGAAACTTGCAGGCTGCTGCAGATGCATTGTATAATGATGAAAACGTTAGCAATCACGAAGATGATGGAAATCAAAGCGAAGATAGCGGCGAGCACATTACATACGCAGAAAATGAAAACGATAGCGACGAGCACTCTGATGAATTATAAATTTTTCTACGTTTTGTCTAGTATATACGTATATATATTAGATTGCTATTAATAAGTTTGATTCTTTATTTTAAAAATTTTTTTTATTAGACTTTAATAATTGATATTTTTAATAGCAATATAATATATAAATATTAATAGCAATATTATTATTAATAGCAATATAATATATGAATACCTATATGTACCTAAAAGAGGCTGCTTACAAACTTACAATTAGTGTTAGTACAATATAAAAACCAAAGCAAATATTTTATGATGCTAATACATATTTATAATACAGATTTAGAATTTATATTTTTTTAATACAAGTTTCTTTTTAGTTTTTTTTACATACGAAGTGTTAGCAACAAACATTTATTAAATAAATATATATATATATAATTATAAACATATTGCGTATACACTTTTTTTGTTTTAAATTTATAATAAAATATATGTAAAATATATATACACAGAAATTTAATAAATTATATATGGCTTTTAAATATTTGTAGTAGTAACAATGTAATTGTAATGTCACTTCTCTTCTTTGACATTACAATTACATTGTTACGAGTATTTAAAAGCCTTATATAATTTATTAAATTTTTGTGAAAGCGAATAACCTATTAAAATCCTTAGTCTTTTATTAACGGCAACGGTTTCCTTTAAAATGTCATCAAAGTACTAGTAAATGTTTTGAAGACGGAAATTGTTTTTATGTTTTTATGTATTTCATGTTGTCCATTAGTTTCCACCAATTTTCGTATAATTCATTTTTAAAAAGCAACTGTTGCCATCAAATTGCTTTCAACTGTTGGTGCCAATAAAAAGACAGCAATTCAATAGGCAAAATCGGAAGCCGCTTTCCTCAATATGGAAAACAACTTAAGCAAATAAATTCGAGCAATTTGACAGCAACCTGTGGGCAACTGGCTATCTGGGACCTCATTAGGCAAGAAATCAAACAATTTTTTCTCTATATTAGCGATCTTATACCAAATGAAATTTAGGTTCGTGTTCAAATCTTTAATCTCCAAATTTAACAATCTAACTTGATTATTCTTAACTATAATTTTAACCTTCCGTTTCGCATAGTCACTATAAAAACTATTCTATAATATCTATAAAAAGATTTATTATATAATTTCAGTCTTTAGGTTCTTGATGTGTGACGGCACAAGGTCATATCTTCGACATCGAAGTAAAAATTTTCAGTTGATAGTTACAAGTATAAAACTTCTTCTTGTAGTTAATCCATGACTTAAATAAATAAGCAATCTCGTTGTTATATTGTTCAGAGATGTGTTGGAAAAAACAATCCTTCCGTACGTGCTCCATATTTCAGTCCAAGAGCAAAAATAAGATCAATCAAAATTAATATTGGACGCTAGTGGTGAAAATAAACTTGGCAAAACATTTCGACATAACTAGCAATTTTATTCAATACTTTCACGACGTTTCGACCATTTGTTTGTGGTCCTTATCAAGTGAAAATTCTATAACACAATATTACACAATAGTTATTAACAATGTTGAAACATACAAGAACATATTCAAATGTTAAGTTATGACCACAAACATACCCATCAATTAAAATGAGATTAACGCAACATAAAACCGATCTTATTTAAAATTAATAGTTAAAAGAGGAACACGTCCCATCGCTATGATGTTTCGTCAACGACTAAGTTTGAAACACACCACTAAACAATCTTTATTATTTTGTCGTAAATATTTGTCAAATTCTCAGTGTCTTTCTGTAGATTAACAGTATTATCATAGTTAATAAACAATGTATTCAATTGAGTCTTTCTTTTAAATAGAAATGTATATATTTATATACATACAAACCATTTTGTAATGGTCGTGAATCGATTAATCATTATTGATTAAATATCGAAAGTATGATAAAAAAAGGGATCAAAACAATTTTAAATATAAAAACCATGGATCAACGAGGTTTTGTTACTTTGTAAATCTTAATTATTTAAAATTTTTAATAACACTTTATATTATATATCCTGATTTATTTATGTGAACAAGGTTTAAGTGTAATTTCTTGTTTTAACATATTTACTTTCATCAATACACATACACACATACGCACAAATAATATAATGATTACAAAATGTTTTATACACTAATTGCAAAAGTGTAATATTCTTATTCTGAAATATATATATGATATGATTTACTATATTAATTTAGCGTTTGACTAATGTGTTGAACGTATACTTATATGTTAACTTTAATTATGCTTATTATAGAAGTTAATTTATGTAATACTTTGATATTATGTAGTAAAATACATATAAATCATACTTATGATTAGAACAGAAATGTTCAGCGTATTTATATGTGCACTACTGACACATACCAGATTTTCATAAGAAACGGTATATTTTATCATGTGAGGGAATCTGCATTCTTTTTCTATAAAAAAACGAACATTATAATTAGAAAGCACATAAAAAAATAAATATACCCGATTGAATAATATTGACGTAATAATATAATAAAACTATACATATATCTTTAAGAAAGTTACAACTTTTAAAATAATTGTTACAATTAATTCTTCAAATTTAAATTAGCATAGTTTTCCCTGTTTTACCTGTGCACTGATAATTTGTGAGTGAAGAATTGGCAGTGATTGATAGATATAACGGGCTACAAAGATGGATTAAATTAGCTTCACCGCAAGCAAATGTAATAGTGCGCACATTATTACTTATCGATTCACACGATATACTTGTATCTTCTGTAGAATTAAAATTCATGAAGCGTCGCGATGTGCATACTTTAAGATTACCCGAGCCAGATACTTCAATCTGAAAGTATATTTATTTATAATACATGTATATAGAATATACATGTATATATAATATATATGTATACATATATATATATATATATATATGTATACATATATATATATACATACATATATGTATATATAAAATATATAAAAAATATTTATGTACAATTAAATTAGAGATAATGTATATAAAAATATATATGTATATACAGGGTGTCCAATTTTAATCGACTTTCCTAAACATTTTTTTATTTTTGTTGTTTCGTTTGCAGGAAAACAAAAAATGGAGCTACCGACTTTTTTTGAAGGACGCTTTTATTTGAAGATCATTTGTTTTTTTTTTTTTTTTAATAGAACTACTTTTGTATAAACTAATAAGAATATGTCGTAAAATATTCACACAAAAAAATATATATCACGGCTCTGTAATATTAAATATTAAATACAAATAAGATTCCCGATTCAGTGACTTTCGGATCTATATTTTTCTCTCGCGTTTATTTCTTTATTTTATTAGGGGGATATAGAGGTTTATGAAATTAAATCTCAAGTATGAGATATTTCATATTTAAAGTCTTGGTAGAGTAAACCAAGAATAATATGTGACTTGTGCACATTTTCGTTTATTTCCAATGCAAAATTAATTTTCGTTGGAAATGTACGCAAAAACATCCGCGTATGGCTCTTAGGTCTTTCTTATTTGTATTTAATGTAAAATATTTATTTTTATTTAATAACCTTATCTCAATACTTTTATACACAAAATAATGAGAGAAATCAATTGATGTAAAGATAACACATATAGTTGTTTTCAAGGAAATGTCTGTAAATTACAACTAACATAGTTTCATAGTTTTCATTGCCCTTATAATTTGTTATGCCGAAAATTGCGAGAAATTGATTAATATATTTAAAAAATTATTATAATTATATTTAAAAACGTAAATGACCTTTAAATGACCTTAAAAAGCGCTCTTTAGAAAAAAAAATCAGTAGCGCCATCTTATTCTGTCCTTCTTCCAATCAAACTACTTTTGTTTGAAACATTTTGTCGTATACACAATAAAAAATAAAAAAAATTTTTGAAAATAATTAATTAAAAATTGAATACTTTGTATATGCATATTATGTATAATATTTTCTCTATATTATGTGAATAAAAGGTAACTTGAAAAACCTTTTACCTTTATCGTAGAAAAATGATCGCTATCGGTAGAAAAGAAATAGTTAGGATGCATTTTATAAAAAACAGTCGTATCTGGTTCAATATAATCGTTGAATGAAATGGATGAAGATCCAGCAACAGTATAATCAGCTCCACATTGCGAATTGATTAAGCGCTGCGGAACTACAAATAAAATCAAAAATTGTGTAGCAAAATTATATTATGTAAAAAGTTTGAAAGAAATATTAAAACCGTACGACATATTAAAGTAAATGTGCATATTAAAAACCCCCTTTCCAATAATCTTGAACTTAACAATATACGTCAAAATCATTAGTTTAAGTAACATCCAATAGTATATTGTGTATCAAGTGCGGAAAGTTGACAATTGGTCACGAGTGCGGGAGATGGACGCACGAGCCGAAGGCGAGTACGACCACCCCACACGAGTGAACAATTGTCAATCCGCACTTTATACACATACTATTTTGTATTGCAAGTGCAGGCAAAGTGGCTGTTTTGGCGCGTTTTCTGTGCGCGAGGCGGCCGATCGCACGCCGCCATCTTGCCGCGGCACGGTGGGGGAATAGTCGGTTTCAATACATTTCCTACGGCTTGAGCCGTATACAATGACTTTTAACGCGGCTCAGCCGTAGATAATGGCTTTGAAACCGGCTTATTCACTCACCGCGTCGCCGCTAGATGGCGGCGGGGGGAATCGGCCGCTTTCGGCACAGAAAACATGCACCGAAAGTGCCACATTGCCTGCACGTGTAATACAAAAAATTTTAACCATCGCTTATTATTTATTAAAAAGTTATATATATATATATATATATATATATATAATTAATATTAATTATATAATGTACATAATTAATTAATAATAAAATTATATATACATACATATATATATATATAATAAGTTAATTATATAAATGTACAATATATAATTAATATATTAATAATTAAATTAATATGAAAAATACAATTAGTATAAAATTCATACTCAGAGAAGTCCAGATTATTGTATTTAATATTTGTTTTTCTCGTACAATTTAATAACTGTTAATAATTTTTTAATAAGCGACGACTGAAACTTTTAATTCAGACTCATGACCTTGACATATGTTATTAAAGTCAAGCAAGTTATTGAGAGTTTTAGTTTCCTAATATGAATATTTATCCAAATTAGTTCGTATATATCTACCTTTTTTTATTCTCGAAATTAAATCGACAATTGCTGTTGGAATTTCTTGCATATTATCCGTAGGAGTAATAGAAATAAATCAGTTGCTGGCTCATTTACAAGCTCTGACCATCTGTCCTTCGATCCATGAGTTAATATAAGTAATGTAGTATCTGCAAAAATAATATCAATCGCAAATTATAATTATGTAACTGATTAAATTTGTAATAATTTGAAAAATTAATAAAATATATTGAAGATCGATAATAGTATATTGTGTATCAAGTGCGGAAAGTTGACAATTGGTCACGAGTGCGGAGGATGGACGCACGAGCCAAAGGCGAGTGCGAGCACCCCACACGAGTGAACAATTGTCAACTTTCCGCACTTGATACACAATATACTATTATCGATCTTCAATATATTTTATTAATTTTTCAAATTATTACAAATTTAATCAGTTGACAATTGGTCACGAGTGCGGAGGATGGACGCACGAGCCAAAGGCGAGTGCGAGCACCCCACACGAGTGAACAATTGTCAATCCGCACGTGATACACATACTATTTTGTATTACAAGTGCAGGCAAAGTGGCTTTTTCTGCGCGTTTTCTGTGCGCGAGGCGGCCGATCGCACGCCGCCATCTTGCCGCAGCACGGTGGGGGAATAGCCGTGTTCAATACATTTCCTACGGCTTCAGCCGTATACAATGACTTTTAACGCGGCTGAGCCGTAGATAATGGCTTTGAACGCGGCTTATTCACTCACCGCGTCGCCGCTAGATGGCGGCGGGGGAAATCGGCCGCTTTCCGCACAGAAAACATGCGCCGAAAGTGCCACTTTGCCTGCACGTGTAATACAAAATAAATTTTAGCTTTTGTAGTTTTCTTATATAAATATAGGAATTTACCTGGTACTTGCTCCATCATCTTCCTTATCTGTTCTATACAATATTCCTTATCGGCATTATTGACAATAGATGATGTATATGGAATAATCAAAATTACATCAGATTTTGCATTTCCAAAATTGTAACGTTCTTTGTTTAATTTCGCTTTTTGTAAAGACATTAATTTCTCAAGTAATTTAGGGAAATCAAAACCGCTAGTGACTGAAAAAAAAAATTTCCAATGCATACACAATATAGTGTACATTTAACATAAATTTAATTGCAAATATACATACTATTTTTATAATTTGTTATATTATAATAATTGAAATTTAAAATAGTGTCGGTAGTATTGATCATGATACTACTGTCATAACCATTAATAATTGTAAATCGACTATTATATCGACTTATTATCACATTATCCAATATATTTCTGTGAAAAAGAAGATATACATAAAATGTATATATTTGTACATTATATAATATTCTATTCTATCTTTTTCTCTATTTTACATATTTGCATATAAACAGGATTAGGTAAGTTAATGATTTTTTTTAATTAAGTTAAGTTAGTTGCTTATAAATTAATTTAGTTTTAATTAAAAGTGCATAAACAAAATATAAAAGTTGTAATTAAGATTATTAAGTTAATTAAGTTAAGATTAAGATTAAATTAATAAATTATAAATCAAAAGTTAAATTTAGTTAAGTTAAAATTGCATAAAACAAAATATTAATTTAGTTAAAGTTAATAATTAAGATAAATGAAATTAAATCAAAAGTTAATTTTGAAAAAAATTATTTATATTAAATTAAAATGTCAATTCTTTTAAAATTATAATACAAAGAATTTTTATTTTTATATAAAAATATATTTTTTTATAATTACGATTTGTGACAAATAAACATAAAAATTAATAATACTTTAATTTAAAAATAATACGTTTGTAACTTATAAAAAAAAACAATAATAGTATTCACAGATAAAAAAATTTAATTTTTGAAAAAAGTTAATAAGTTTAAGATCAAAAATAACTAGTTAAATTAAAAATTAAGCTATTGTAAGTTAAAAGTTATTAACTCTTGAACTAATTAACTAGTATTATCCAATCTGTATATAAATTATATACTTACGCAATGATTGGTTGTATCAACTCGAAAGGCCATGATGTATCGAGAATAATTGTTAAATCAACAGCCATTTGAATAACACTATTGAAGATTTTTGTTTCTTCATCTTGACAGGATAAATCTTTGTTCATTGAAGACTCTGGGACAAAAATTATATGCTTTATATCTTGTGCAAAAGTATTTAATTTTACAAAATATTAGCACAATATATACTTACTAACGTATAAAGATAATTCGTCCGCCGCTTGCAATGCAAATCTTTCGATTACATTGTCGTCCATTGTAGCTTTATGTAAATATTCCTCTAAGACTAAAGAAGCGCTATATGCCTATAATATAAAATATTAATTTATTAATATTATTATATATAATATTATTTATATTAATATGACTCTAGAATTATTAATATTATTATGTAATGTCTATTAATATTATTTTTATTTAATTTTACCCAGACAGCACAGAATATTTATAAAATATTTATAGAATATTTATAATAATTATTTTAATATTTATAAATATTTATCATAAATATTTTATAAATGTTTTTGGAGTCTTAGATAGTGGAGTCTTCAATAGATCATAAATATTTATCATAAATATCAGAAAATATTTACGATAATTATTATGGTAAATATTATAAATATATTTATTAAATCATTGATACAGATTTTTTTTAATTTATTTTATTTATAATAAATACTCAGTAAGAAATGAGTTAAAAAAACATAATCAACGATTTTTTAATCAAAACGATCGATTGATATAGTCTAATCTAAAATTTGGTCGATTAGATGTTTTTGTGGTTTTTTACTCATTTATTAGCCATTTATAAAAAGTTAAAAATGTGTAAAAAATGTTTATAAGTATAACTTATATTTTAAACATAATTTTAAAATAGAATATAAAATTATAATATACACTGAATATACTTAGGCAACAGAGTAATTTAACAAATTTTACGCACACATCGATATATACATGAATTTATTTGTTAAACGACATTCTGTTGCAGAATGTAGCTCAAAAATAATTTTATGACATTTTAAATTTAAGAAATAATTTATGACATTTTTAATTTTATTAATTTCGTTTTGCCAGCCTTATACAATTCTTA